TACAAAAATAGATAGGGTATTAAAGAAAAACAAACCAGTTTCATGATTCCAAATGGATTTCAATGAACCTGAATCAAAATTTTCTATTTACTAATGTACTTTTTACTAGGGGACAGAAGGATATCAATAATGTATACTTATTTTTTTTTCATGAAAATAAAAAGAAATGAGAAGAGGACAGGTCAATAATGGCAAGGTTACAGTATTAAGCCTGACTATGTTACTCAGTCTTTCACTGACTTAATATTGATTAAGCAAACCAGGTTCCCAGCACCTACTCTGCCCTTTCCAGTCCCTGTTTCTTTCTCCTCAATTGAAGATATTTAAACACCTAGGTTTTGTTACTCATCAATTTCAAGCCCTCCAAGGCCTTCTCAGTGAAGCTTCCCTGACTAGACCCCAGGCACCATAGGGAATGATGTGATTAGATGGGTGTGTGGTCCTAGGTTAGGATGCTAATGGTCTAGGACAGGCTACCAAGAGACCACAGTGAGAAGAGCTAAGACAAAGGAATCTGCAAAAATTCCATAAGATTCAGAGGGAGGCAAAAAGGGGAGCTGAGAAGTGATTTAAAGAGAATAATGACTTGAGCTACACTTGACAAATAAAGATGGAGCCACAGAGTGGAACACAGCCACAAAGGGTGTGGGGCTGGTCATCTGCCTGGCAAGCCCAGAGGCAGGAAAAGCAAGGCCTGTTGGATGGGAAACAGGAAGGGATTTGGCATGCTGGACCACAGGGTGGAGAGGAAAGGCCAAGTCAGAGCTGGAGGTTAAGAGCATTGTGCATGAAGAAAGCTCCTTCTAAAAAGAGCAGTAAAAATGGTTTTTAATTTGGGGAGCCACAGGATTAGTTCTGTGTGAGGAATCTCTCCAAGATGACACACAGGTCACATGAGAGAGGACGAAGACCTGAGATTAGAGAGCACGACAGGAAGAAGCTGGAGGAAAGACGGTGCATGAGGGATGGCAAACTGGGCAGAGGTTTCTCTGATGTGTCTGGCGTGGGTCCCTGGGTAGGTGGAAGATAACAGGGACCACAGCTAGCAAGCGTTAAAACCCTAATGGCTAGCAGTAATCAACTGCTTGATGAAATCAATTCAAATTTACTAACGTATTAAATTACTTAGAATGTGGGTTCATAGCCTTCAAGACCACATGCAGCCTTCACTCAAAACATGTGGCCTTGAATCCAATGGAAACATCTTTATACAAAAACAGAAATTACTCTGAGAAGTCATAGGAACTATTATTAAAATAACCTTGCACAGTTTGTACTAATCTTGAAAATTATTTTAAAAATTAAACCAGGGAAAGGATAGAAAGATTTTCTTGTTCAACTACAATTTCAGAAATAACATCATTAGCCTACAGGCAGCACGAACTTTATTCAGACTTACAAAACTGAGTATTAGCAAAGTTAGACACAGAATCCTGGGCATCCCACACCTGCATCACTTCAAAGAAAATTTATTACCAATAAGAAGGAAATAAGAAGGAAAAGTAGGGGCTGGGGATTTAGCTCAGTGGCATAAGCGCCTGCCTTGCAAGCAAGGGGGCGGTCGTGAGTTCGATCCCTGGTACCGATAAAAACCGAAAAAGACAAAAAAAAAAAAAAAAAAAAAGGAAAAGTAGACAGTAACTTAGACTTATAAGAAGTTTTTTAAATGCCTGAAAAATCTAGGAGTTAGCTTTGAATTTGTAGCTTATAAAGCCACATAATAGATGACGTTTGCTTAACCTTTGCACCAACTTAAATGAAGAGAACATTAGACAGATTCAGGTACACACCTATAATCCCAGCACTCTGGGAGGCTGAGACAGGAGGATGACATGTTTGAGCACAGCCTAGGCAAATTCAACAAATTAACAAGATCTTGTCTTAAAATAACAAAAGGATTAGGGATATAGTTCAGTGAGTTCAATCCTTAGTTCTTCAAAAAACAAACTAAAACAAAAATGTTAAAGACCATTTCCTAATTACCTGTTTTCTAACATCTGCATTTTGTTATGGGGCAGAGTACCCAAAACCTTGAATAATAATTTATATATATATATATATATTGAAGCAATTTTAATCCACCTCCAATTACAGTAAATCATTCTATAAAGATGATCTCTAAAGAATTTTTCTTGTTTACAGTATAAAAATGGGAAATAGAGGAAGTATTTTTGATATACCATTCATGGTATCATGGCTGTTAATTTGAGTTCCGTTTGTGGTAATGAAGTTAAGGAATTCATTTTAACTAAGTTATTTGGCATATTGATAATATTTTAGATGGAAACTTGGAAATATCCAAGAAACAATATCAAATACATAATGGAGAGTAATCATATATTATGCATAAGTATAGATTAGGGCTTAATAATTCATTGCCATGGCTGTGAAAAAAAATTCAGAGGAAGAGCCAGGTGAATCTCACCTCCTCCAGCTCCAAACAGCACCATAACTGTTCCATAATGTTACACCAACAGAACATTCATAAACATACGTAGCCAATATCATTAACTGTGGCAAAGGGAAAACTAAACCCACAGTCTTAAAAAAGGGATGCTCGAATTCCTTGTATGGCTAGAAAGTTGATGAAGAATACTGTACAAGCCATTCTGTGTCAGAGATTTTAAATTATATTGATGAAACAAAGGATAGACATGTAGGAATGTTTTCTAACATTAAAAGAACTGTATTGCTGCACTTACCAGAGAAGGGCAAGTTAGATGCACTTTGATGAATCAGAGCAATACTACATAAGCTGCTTTTTGTGCAATGAGAAGATTTACTTGAACCCTCTGGATATTCCTGAGAAGAAAACTTACTATTTCTCTCCTTTGTTGGTCACAGAATTTGCCATAGAATGAGCGAATCAGCAAAGTTCTGTCACCAATACATATATTGTTATTAAATACGGATCACAGGATCTTGATCCTGTATCCTCATGATAGCTTATTTATTTATTTATTTCTGTTTCTTTAATATCTCATCTTGCCCTTGACATTAAGGAGGAGGATGCTTGGAAAAATCAGCTAGCCAAATTCATCACAAATTCTAAGGCCATTAAAGCTGTTTTGTGCGATGCATATGGGTAAACTAGTTCCTAGATAGGGACTCCCAAATTGTTGATTCTATCAATTACAAAAATCAACCTTGTCTAATATAGTTAACACTGCTTGCCTCTGCTGTGAATATTTCTGGCACAGAGCACTTAATCTCACAAAGAGAGAAACAAAATAAAGGATAGATAGTGCTGTATTTTTATAAGCTAATACTATATGACATTGTAGAAGATTTAATTGATTTTCCAGTCTAACTTCTTCATAATTTTATATTATTATTGACAGAAATATTTCATTCTCATTATCTTTTATCCTAGCAATTGCTGTGTACCAAGATACTAAATTTAACACAAACAAAAACAGAGATAATGAGGTATAGTCAGAAGAGCTTTGAAGTAGGAGTTAAAGAGATCTAGTTCTCAGGGATATCTTAAATAAGAAAATATAAAATGATACACACAAAAAATAAGTATTGTCAATTACTTCTATAAACAGCAAATTGATACACTGGAAAATAATTTTTTTCCAAATTAGGTCTATCATCTTTTTATAACTTTAATGAAAAGGTTTAGGCCTACCTAAGAATATCAAAGCTATACAACTACTAGATAACCACAGAATTTATCTACAGACAGTTAATAATTGGTTATTATATAAAATTTCCCTCAACTGTTACCCTACATTCTGACTTGGTATTTTAAAGAAAGTTGAGTGTGTGGAATGACATTATGAAAGTGTTCTAGTAAATAAGTACACCAATCAAGCTGGTGCTCTATAGTTTCTTCAGTTTAACCCTACAAATGTAACTTTCAGTATGGTTTTGTGCTATGATCTACATAATACCTACGTCTCCACAATACTCACAGGCTGAAATCCTAATCCCCAAGAAGATAATATGGGGGCAGGGCCTTTGGGGAGGTGAAAAATTACGAGTACAGAGTGGTCATGAACAGCACCATAGTCTCATTAAAGAGACCACAGAGAGCTAGCCCATCTCATCTACCATATAAGGACACAGCAAGAAGATGCCATCCACATAGACAGGCCCTTACCAGGCCCTGATTGCTGGTAACTTGGATGTCTCGGCCTCTAGAAGGGTGAGAAATAAATTTTTGTCGTTTGCATCTCCTACTTTATAGAACTTTGTTGTAGCAACCCAAACAGACTAATGCACTTGGATTCAGAGCACTATCTCAGTCAAACACTGGGATGGTCTTGAAGAAAATGGCAGCCTGCAGTCATGTCTGAAGGAGTGTCATCTTTACATACTGGCAATGCTGGAGTGCTGCGCAGCACCCTGAAAACTCTCCAGCATTGATCCGTGCAGTGGTGGAAGGTTCTTCTTCATAGGTGGCAAGGAAGGGACCCCAGCTAAAGGCAGCTCTCGGTAATGCGTTGTGTCCATGAGACACAAGTAAAAGGACTCTGGTTGAGAGGAACAACACATAGGGTCATTGTCATTACACTTTCCTTTTATTCCACTGACCTTCTGTGCAGCACGCCACTGAGGGACACAGAAGGGCCTACCATCCTGAATCTTCACTGAGTTTTGTGTGTCTGAACTGCACATCGCTCAGGGGAGAAAAGAAAATGTGAGAGGGCACAGTGGCCCAAGCAGTGGCAATAATCAGCACTTACGGACGAAGCAGTTACTCCCTAACAGTAAGCAAAATGCCAAACGAAGCTCAGTACCATAAGAATGCATTGGTGTTTCTGTTTTATCCTTTTCTTTTGTTTTGATATTTTTTTTAAACCAAAGGAATTCCAGAAGTTGGTTGAAACATTAAAAGGGAAAGCTTAGATTTTTGCTGAACCCCTCCATTGCTCGCACTCCCTAGAACTCCTCACCTCCACTGGCTCCTTCATAAAGGATTAAGTATTTCATTTTAAAAAATCAGCGAAGAAGAAAATTTGTAGATCAAATAGCAAAACCAAAGTCATTACCTCCAGGGAGTCACTGTCACAGTCTCCTTCCTCTACACTTCTCCCCTTCTCCTCGGTAATTGTGTTCACCATTTCGAAAAACCTACAGTGAGAGTTGGCAGCTATTATATGTATAATAAATACACATGCGTGATAGACTCATCCTGAGTTGAAAACAACAATGGAAAATACACTTAATACACACCACCTGCCAAACATCCCGGCTTAGCTTAATCCACCTCTTACCGTACTCAGAACACTTCTATTCCCCAATGGCTGGGCAAAGAAATCTCAAACAAAGCCTGTTTTATAATAGTGTGGAGTATCTTATGTAACTTATTGAATACTTGTATCCTAAAAATGCTGGCAAAATAATCCAGTGCAGACTGTCACTCATTCACCCTTGTGACTGGGTGGCTGGCTGCTAGGGTGGCTTGCTGCTACTGTCCAGCATGGACACAGTATGATACTGGCTATCACTGGACTGGGGAAGGGTCACAATTTGAAATAAGGTTTCTACTGAATGTGTATTCTTTCACACCATCATTAATTTGAAAAATTGAAATTGAACCATTTCAGCTAGGGGTTGTCTCCATAAGCAGAGACAATTCAAAGTGACATCAGGACAAAAACTGAGAGCTAAGAGAGTCTCTACAATTTGGTAATAAACTATCAGGGTTAATGTCAAAAAAATGTAATTTTTTTTTAAAAAAAGAAAACCCAGATTGGTAGGATTTTTTAGACATTTCCAACCTAATACATCACTTAAAACAATTATAATAGATTATAGAATAATAAAGCTACACAGGGCCATACAAATGTCAAGAATGTGGTCCTGGATATCAGACCCAAGATTACCAGGACCTATATGATCTGAGAGTATCTATGTGACCTTAGGTAAACCCCTTCACTTCTCTGTGTCCTTAATTATAAAACAGGGGATATGCATGTATCTATCTCGGCTATTGTGAAGATGATTTAGATTAATATTTGTAAAGTGCTTGGCATAGTGCACTTGTAAATATTAGCTAGTGCTTTTTTGCTGAGGCTATTACTTAAAAGCATAAAAATATCTATATTCTGAATTTCCAGAATGTCTAGTATCTCTAAGTTAGGAAGTGACTTTTGGTCAATGTAATATTTGATCTTAGTTACAAAGTCCTCTACCTGAGCACTTTAATTCTGTATGTGAAGAGTCCCATGAGTATAGTATGTGGAATACTGACACGAACAAGGAAAGGCTGCCTTACATATACATTAGTGACAGACCTCTCTTTCTTCTGAGGATATTTTTCTTTAGGAACTCTTACAAAGATTTATTTCTGGAGATCACTTTAGGGCTAAGCAATATAATAACTAGAGCAAGAAAGAGATTTTCTCCCTGTGTGAAGCCTAGTCCTTGAGACAGGATGCTCACAATTTATATATGTAAAGTAAGGGAAGCACCACAAACAGGGGCTGATAATCTCACAGGAAGATCATCACTGTGATGATACCTCAGAACTTTCCTATTTTTGTACCTCATTTTCAACCACCCACCCATCCATCTATCCATCCATTCTTTCAACAAATACTCATTGAGGGACAATGAGTATTTGGTCTTCTAGGATAAAGACCTATCCTAGCCATCAGGAACAGGACAGTGAACAGAGTCTATTTTAAAGTACAGGGCCTATTTATGGAGCTCACATGCAGTGCCTACTTTCTACTTTTCCTTTCCTTCTACATAGTCAACAACAATAACAACAAAAATCCCAGGCTTGACTGGGATAACAGAATATTCTAAAGAAACCTAAATAAAGAAGATTACATGATGAATTAAAACAAAATAAAATTTAACCAAGAGGAAAAAAAGAGTAAAACAACCTTTTAAAATTCTAGTTTTAAACATAAGCTTTAAGTTCTAAGATAAAAACACATATCAGCCACTAATCCAAAACTTTTTACTAGAACATCTCTAGGTAGAATGTAACTCAACTGCATATGAGTTCAGTGTAAATTTTCAGAATTATTTTTTACAAGTCTGCCTTTCTATCAGATGGAACATGGCAGCAGCATTCACAGTATTTTTTGATCACACCTTATAAAAATATTCACAAAACAGGACTGCCAGAACTGCTCCACAGAGTGGCAAGAATGAGAAGTACAAATCCTCAAAGTTAGGGGGAGCATTTTGAGGGAGACTAAAGGTAATATGTCTTTTATTGTGATAAATTTAAATAATTTAAACACACACCACATTTTTTGATCACCCCTTTACCCAGGATGGTTAGTACAAACATATAATGCAGTCCGTGGATTTTATTGGTGTAAATCAGACCACTGGCACTTATCCCGGGCTTCTTTATGAGAAGATCCAATATAATTAGTCTGGGGATGAAGTCCAGCTACTTTCTGTGGTATGTATGTGTGCACGCACACATGTGTGTGTGTGATATGGAGTAATAAACACAGGGCTTTGTACATGAAGTGCGCTACTACTGACCTACATTTCCAGCTCCCAGGTATTACTTTTAATGTTTACTAGATGATTTTAATATTAGTAGGGTTAAGACTCGCTGTTGTAGACAATACTGAAATAATTCTTGAATTATTCAAAATAATTCAAGAATGAAAATTTTAGTGGAGTACTTTTCAAATCAGGTATAATAGTTAACCAGTAAGTCTTGGTTAATTTTTTATCCATGGAAGAATAGACTAAGAAAAAGCATATTACAGACAGCCCCACTAAAAGTTCGTTGAGTACACATTATACAACATAATAAAAAGCTCAAATAAAAAAATTTTTTGATGTAGAGATCTCACTATGCTGCTCAGACTGGCTTTAAACTCCTAGACTTAAGCAATCCTCTTGCCTCAGATTCCCAAGTAGATGGGACTACAAGTACTTACCACCCTGCCTTGGCAAGTAAAATATGTGTGCAAGTACACAGCCATGAATTCTTCACAACAGCTATATGCTCACTCATTTATTGAAAATAATGACCAAGTTTGCATAGACTTTTTCACACATAATGACAAATACGTACTTTTTACAGTGAAGTTCTGTACAGAAATAGATTTGGAAGTCATCAGAATTGTGAAGCACATAAAGAAAGCAGCATCGCTCTTCAAATTTAGAAATACTGAAACAAACAAAAAGAGCACTATTCAGAGAAATGGCAATACTTCCATGGATCTATAATGAAAAATAAATATCTTTAATGTTCAATCCTGATTACACTATCAGAGTTGTTTATAACAACACTCCCCACACCATAATGAAAAAAGTATTTACTATTCTGAGAATTGTCCTTCTAGTAATCTGTGTAGAGCAGATTGTTCTGAGGTATATTAGCCAAACAGGACCTGTCCCTTCGATGAGCACGGAAAGGGGCTCTGTCACTGTGGTACTCATCTGTCTAATGTGAGGAAAAGCACAAATCTGCAGAAATCTGTTGTCTCCTATTTCTATTCTGTTAGAATAAATCGTAGTAAACACAACTACTTTGGTTTGAAATTTGCAAGAGTTGGTTTAGCATGAGTTGCTATACAATAAGTACTTGAACACTTATGCAGGGATTCATGATTTTTTTTTAGTCTCATTCCTAATTCCCAAGGAATGGTATTTTCTGAACCAATGCCATTGTGACAACAATGTCAGAACTAAATGAAAATGAAGTAAATCAACTGACTACTTGACCTCAGTGATTCTGGACCCATGGCATCTGTAGAACAAGAAAATGTCTCAAAAGCAAAGATGGCAATCTGTGGTGGCACCTCAATAGCTGTAGAGTATTTAGAGTGACGAAGTGTGGAACAATACTTGGTTTTGATTCAGCAAATTCTTTAGTGCAGAAGATGACAAGACTCTATGATTCATATTCTGGTTTGATAACTGCCGGCTTTTGAAGTTTTATACCATATACAAAGTTGTGTTTTTATTAATACTGTTTTTTTACTGATATATATAATTACACTATGTCTGATGATATAGCCAATTCTATTGAAGATAACAAGAGACAACACAGGAACTATGGTAGAACTCCTTGTACAACGGTCTTATATGTCTTTTTCGTTTCATGTGTTTATAGGAATATGTTTTGTTTTGTCTTGCTTTGTTTTGTTTCTCCCTCTAATATAGAAAAGATAGAAAGAAATACATGTTAAGATTCATGCATGTGTAGAATCTATAAACAGTTTATGAGAACCGATCTTATGACACGTGAAGAAATGAACAGATACTTTGAAGAAAAAGAGACACTAAAATACCCAGTGCTGATCCTGGAGTGTCATAATGTGAAACCCAGCAATAGTATTATTCTTTGTTCAGAGTGATATTAGACTGCTTGGGTTTGTTTAATCTCAACATAATTGAAGATATGTATGACTGTGTGTATGTTTAAGTGTACAGGATTGATAACCATATTTCTAAGTTTTTGTTGGATAGCTGAACAGAACCGGTTGCAGTCTCACTGTTTGAATCCGCACTTTATATGCTCCACTTTAGTATCTTGAATAACTATTTGTAAGAGGATAATTTGTAATCATCAACTAGTGATTTCTTACTATTTACTTTTTTCTTTGAAAGTATGTATTATTTCTATCCGTTTTCCGTTTTGTTTAGTCTTTCTTTAAATAAAATTTTAAAAAAATTCTTTAGTGCAACAGGAAACAACATTAAGTTGACAAGCTTAGCCATGTTGTTTATGTGGAGAGTTGGCAAAGGTTTTGTGTAATGTGCCAGATAGTGAAATACTTTAGGTTTTGTAGGCCAGACCATTGAATTCTGCTGCTGGGGTATAGAGCGGGAGAAGGAGAGGGAGAGGAAGAAGGACAGCAAAATGGAGAGGGAGACAAAGAGAGGGAGACAAAGGGGGAGAAAGAGAGAAAAGGAGAGAGAGCAAGAGAATGCCTGACTGGCTCGTGTCTTAGTCATTTTCGTACCCGCAGCAGAACAAGACTCAACATTTGGCAAACACCTGGTGTTCAGTAAATGCCATCGCCGAGGCAGGCAAGTTCTGAGGTGATGCAACACATGCACTGATGACCTAGTTGGATTTTGTTCCGCAGTCTGTCATCTCGACTTTATGGAAGAGGAAGCAAGGAAAAGAGAGCTTCCTTTGAAACCACACACTAGAATTCCAGTTTGGCAAAACACAAACCACCAATAACCAGATGGAAGCATGGTGTGTATATATCCCAAATCAGAATGACTGCTATGTAGGTTTGTCATGTCTACTTAAAGATTAATTCATTGGAAAATGGAGCTGATAAAAAGAAGTTTACATGTGCTATTCTGAATGTAGTGCTTAAAAATGAAGCAATAAATGAATGCTCTGCTAGTGGCTGGTTTAAGAATTAAATATTAAAAGAGTAAAGCTTTATTTGAGAAGATATTGATTGGAAAAATATATGAGTCAGTCTATAACCTTGCTGGTTTCTTTTCATATCATTCCTCAGGTAAAAGGTAGTTCTAGCAAGAATACTGAAATTACTGGTGAGTCACACTCTGTTACCGGTTCATGCTCTAACAAAGCCAGTCACTACTATTACAAAACCAACAGGATATTACATAACTGGCCTGCAGAAATCTGTTGTCTCCCATTTCTATTATGTTAGGAGAAAGCGTAGTAAACACAACTACTTTGGTTTGAAATTTGCAAGAGCTGGTTTAGCATGAGCTGCTATAGAATAAGTACTTGAACACTTATGCAGGGACTCTTGATGTTTGTTTAGAGTCTCATTCCTAATTCCCAAGAAATGGCATTTTCTGAGCCACTGGCATGGTGACAACAATGTCAGAACTAAACTGAAGTAAACTATTGTGCCCTCAAGAATACTGCACTGAGTGGCCTTAGGAAAGGGTTTTTTCCCCCCATCACCTCATGCCATACAACACAGCACAGCACAATACAACCTTGCAGATGGCCTATGTGCTTCAGACCCATTCAGGGGAAGGTTAGTTCCCAGCACACCAAAATGATAGAAACCGTCCTACAATATAAAAACGGTTCAGTCTACTAGAAGGAACGTCCATGTAACTTTGTTTTATCTATATCTTCATTCTGGTCCACAGCTCATCTTTCCCCCAGAATCATCATATTTTAGGTAGGTGACAAACACAGAGTCAGTGTGACCAGCATTGGTGTCTTGAGGCAAATCTTCAAAACCGAGACAATTTGGGTGTTTCCAGCAATAGAAAGATTCTTGAAAATTTTTGTACTTTTAAATCATGAACAAAAGTCCTATTCAGGCTAAGAATATCCCAGAACAATGTCTTCTAGGTAAACAAAATGTACCAAAAAGAAACTTACCTCACTCCTCTGACAGAGGAAGCACTAAAATTCCACTCATGTATACCTTTCTAGAACAAAGAAGAGCAGCAATAACTAAAAACATTCAGTCATCCAAATGGAAAATAATATCACAAAATAATATTATTTTTAAAAATACACCAAATTATTTTTTTTAGTGCATAATTCTTCACGAGCAAATTATCTGGTAGAAGTTGCCATTTAGTCATAAGTCACAAGAGTGATTTTTACTTAATAATTTCTATTCATCAATAACATAGCTTTTAAAAGAGCCAGGGGAAATTAGTCACATTGAATTCTAATGCCTGATTTCTAGAAATAACTATTGTGTATTAATTTTTTGAGTAAAAAATTCCAGTGGTTAAGGTAATCTAATTATCACAGTCAAGTAATATTTCTTTTCTGAGAAAGAAAAATATTATTTTGCATAAAATTTCTGCAAAATTTTAAAGGTAGTTCCTTCTGAATTCTGGTTAGGTAAAAATTTCCAACTAAACTGGTGGGTCTATTTCTTCAGAATTTAGTAGAGTAAGTATGTGTGTAAGGTGGATACTTACAGTGTCCACCTTAGCTATAGGTGTGGTCACCTATTTTACTCAAAATTCAATATATTGAGAAAGTCGGAACATAAAAACTTTGATTACCATATGATATATATAGGTGACTAGCAGGTTTCAAATTTAAAAAGTGGGAATCATATTTTGAGTTTATTAATAAGGCTGTTCCATTTATTATCAAATTCATATATCCTTTAAATAAATTACAATCATATTCCTTATAAAAATGACTGATGATTTAAAATTAATAGCCTAAATGAGTTTATACAAATAGTTGATATGTATGTCTATAACTAATAAGTGTCCTACAGTGCTAAATTCACACTGAAATTCAACTCTGTGAATGTAAAATAATGGAAAACAAACTCTTATCCACGACTGCCAGAAGGCTAAGGTCTTGGCTTGGCTAGTGAAATGAGGACTCAAATTTTGTGGCATTGAGGTGGCCCAGAACTCCCTCTTGGCCAAAGCAACTCACCAAGCCACAAATTACATCCATTGCCCCTAGTTCTTCACTAGGGCCACCCAACTTAAAATAAAAATAGGTTTTCTGAACCCAATGTAGATTTACTGAAAAACTCATTTCAGTGAACATTAGTCAAGCCACAAGGCTGCAACCTGAATTAGCACGGAGCAAACTGTGTTGAACATAAAGTCCAAAGAGGGAAGACAAACACCACAGAAAGGCGCTCATGGAACATGGCTCTCCTAACTAGCGTGCAGAGGGAGGTAAATTAGAATAGCAGCCTGCAGCCACAACTAGTAATGTGGAAAGTTGCTTCTAAATCCTGCTCGCCTCAGGTGAACTTTTAAACACACACTTAAGCCAGGAGCTGTAGCAGGCACACAGTGCTGGCTTTTCCTGCAACTGAGCTGTTTCTCAAGGCCACGTGTAGGAAAAGGAGGAGGGCACTGAGCACAGAGCCGCTGGGCAGTGTGCTAACGAGACACTGAACAGCAACCAGCAAACACTGACAAGATAGCACTGGTAAGTTGATCTTCCCTCAGCCCTGTTCTGGAAGCAGTAAAGGAGAGATTTCCCAGATTGATTGGAATGGTTTTGCAGGAAAGGAGTATAGCAATTCTAGAATTGTAGGTTTCTAAAGGCTGCCAAGGAATGTTCCATTTTAATGCTGTCAATCAAGCCAAGGGCCTCCAGTGGAGTGATCCGCAAGAGAAGCCCTCACACCCCACCTATCCTGTCAGTGGGACTCACCACAGGGAGGTGCTGGTGAGTTACACAAGCAACCCAGGAGCTACGGCTCTAGGGACTGTCTAGGTTTTCAAAGGCAAGGCCTGAACAGGGGTCCTAATTAGCCCCAGCAGACCCAAAACAATGTTCACCCTAATCCTACCAGCATAAGCACCACTTCCTAGGAATCTGCCAGTCAGAACACTTCAGTCAGGACAATTACACAAACTGGGAGCTAACACACAGTTAGGGTGGCAGAAATTACACGGCAGTGGGCACTCTTGGTGCCTTAGGCAATGGCTATTCTCTTTTTCTCCTTTGCTAACAAAAAATGAATTTTGTTAAGATTTAGGTAGGATGGGGAAATTGATTAATTTAAATTGGCCATAGTAAGTTCCTTTCCCTTGCTGGCCATTGGTTTAGGCATGGCCACATAATAACATCTTTCGGTATGCAGGAGAGGGCCTAATCCACTCTGGGTTACTAATTCCTCCTTTTGTTTTATTTGCAGTGCTGAGGATTGAAGCCAGTGGGATTCCCTTGTTATTTAAGCTACTTTAGTTGGGAGTTTTGGAATCTGGGATAACATGCACCCCTCACACATTTCCTGCGTCTTTTTCAAGAGGCACCAGCTGGAGCTGCAGTGGGAAGGAAGGTAAACTTTGTGCACCACTGGGTCTCTGTTACCTTCTTGAGATGCTTGAGATACTATCAGATAGCCCAAGAATGCAAGCACTTCAAGTCTAAAAGGAAGGAGAATCTAAATATCAACCCACTAAACCATCTTACAAATAACTTCTCTTCTTTGGTCTACATTTTTCTTTCATTATATTCTTTCATTATATTCACTTTCTTCAAGTATTGACTGATTTTGAGCAGCATATCTAAGGGAGAACCGTAAAAAACTGAGACTCAATTAATTTTACCACTGAATGTAAAGTAGTTCTTTTAAGTTTTTTAATTAATGAGTTTCATTTTGGCAGACTCGTACATTCAAGTAGTTCTAAAGTACCTGAGAGTAGTTATATAATGTATTTAAAGTTTTGAAAAATTGACTTAGTATATACTAAGAAGAAGTACATACTAAGTCATAAAACTGTCCCATCTTTTTGAGGAAAAATACTCAGGGAGTAAGGAAATAAATAGGATAAGTAGAAAGCAACATTTTTTGTTCTACTTTTTAAACAAAAATTAACGTTCTATATAGAAACCAATCCATCTCCCATTTAACGTAAGACCTATTAAGCTATTGGTTATCTGCTACTTGAATGTAGTTTTACAGTCATTTTAAACTAACATGGTAATAATAAAGTTTTCCTATTTTTATTACTTGTTTTTCTCTCCTACTTTACCACATCCATTTAAAAAAAATAGAGAAAGCAAGAATGGTAACAAACACACTATGGACAGAATGAGGGTGTGCCCTGAGATCAACATAAAATCAAAATGGAAACTAAGTTACACATGCTTAAATTTATGAACAAGGAGAATTTTTAATATGAAGTTACAGGGAATGGAAATAATGCACAAATATTTCTTTTTGATCAGAAAGTGGTATAAATGGAAGCTGGATGATTCAAGGTCTAAATCTGTAATCTTTCATAATATACTAATTAATATCTTATTTCTTAACGTATTATACCTATAATTGTCACCAAGCACAGGAAAATCAACATAAGGTTCACTTCACTGAATGAAGAACCTCCAGGAAGAAGCAAACAGTAACAACTGGCTGGAAATCACGCTCATTTTCCAAAAAATCTCTAGTTTATTCTGTTCTTTTTCTGCCTTCCAAATTCTACTGGCTTTCCACTCATTCCCTGGGTCTTGCTAATCACTAATTCCTTAGCCCTGTTCTGTATCCAAGTGTCCTTGGATAACCTTGCTCTTTCCAATTAAGCCTGTGAAAATCTCTCCCAGTCTTGCTCCCTTCTCATAATTCATGCCTAACTTGTCTTAGTTTTTATAATTTCAATTTTATGATCACTAAACTTGACCTTGTGAGAACTTGTCTTCAAATACTTTAAAACAATGCACTTCAATATTAATAACACACACACACACACACACATATATATATATATATATATATATATATATATATTCTCAATTTTGTCTCTGGATGATTCTACTTAGAATCATGACATCAGTTCCAACTAAACAAGTCCAAAATTAAATTCCATATGATTCCTCTACAACCCAGATTTCCCTTCTAACTACCCTACCAGTGTTATCAAGGCAATCAAAATATGAGTCACTTTGCATTTATTTCTTTTCTTTAGATCTTCATTCTAATCTGTGATTAAATCATACATTTTTTTTCCTAAACTGTCTTTCCCTTTGTGGTCAAAATCATATTATTCCAGTCTGAGGTATCTACCTGTCCCAAGGTCTCTACCTGTCCCAAGTGTCAGTGCAAAAGTCTTCTCTCTGAGCCTTCAGAGTACAATTCTGAACTCTAATATCAAGGCCAGATAAATATTACAGCCATAACAGCAACCACTATTGAATACCCATTCTGTGCTTTTTAGACCTGAGCTACACGATTTACAATAATTAGCCTGTCTAATCTTCACCACAATTCTGTCATACACTATGCTCTTTTTACATTTATGGAAGCAACAGTGCATGGCGCAGGTCACAAAGCAAGCAAGAGATAACATCAGTCTTCACTCCTATGCAGTTTGATGCTGATCCTGTGTTCTTTACTATGCTCTTCTGTCTTCATTCCTCTTCCTCTGAAATTCACATACCAAGAGGCCACATGGTCTTCTCCATAAACCAACACAATCCCAAAGTCCACACAAGTCAAACAATACTGATGGACAGTAGCATTAATGTTAACAGTTATCTTGGATATAGCACAATGTGCTGGGAGGTCTTATTAGAGATGCTTATTGGAAATACTTATTAGAAGTGTTACCTGTAGGGTGGTAGCCAATGACTTCTATCAAAGTCTTTATCACTTTACTGAGAAAGTACGTTAAATGTCACTCTTATGACAGTATGCTGTACAAATTATTTAAGGAAGTTTTCTATTATGAATAAGCTAATTGTATGAGTGATTTTAAGTGTTTGTATTTATGATTGGCACTCAAGAAAAACTCAATTTTCTGACTCTACTTATAATGGCAAATATTGGAATGTATCGTTCTGGTGTGTTGAGTGAAGAACCTTAATTATGACAACCTATTAATGGAATTCGTGTTCCTAAAGCTCTGGGATAACCAGTCTAGAACTTTCATGTGAAAATGCTATCAAGGACAATGTATCACTGAGTGTGAAAGAGACCATAGTTCTGAAAGATGCCACTAGGTAATCCTCCATGGTACTGGGCAGATTTGGAGAAAGGATGGCACTTCTCCATGTTTATTCTGCAACTGCATGTTGCCAACATTTAGTGTGCTTATTAAAATACTAAGTTACAGACTTAATTGACACTGTATCAATAAAAATGTATTCTGGGTGGTACTTAGTATCTATATGCTCATTTTAAACCCAAGTACCTTTCCACACATATGAGTTCTGCATTTCTTCAGTTTGTGTGATGTATAGACTAAGGATCTGCATTTGGAACCAGCTCTTTGAGTGATTCTCCATAGTATTTTACAGACACACACTTTGAAAACACTGTGGAAGAGCCAGATTAGTCGTAAAGTCAAGGGCATAATTCTTTAGCCACTACAATTGAATAATTTGGTATACCCTATAAAGTTGACCTCAGCAATGATTGCACATACAATTCACTCAGCCATCTTCATAAAATTGTATGGGACCAAGCTTCACTCTAAGTATAAAAGATTCCTCTCTTGCAGGCCACGGAACCACAGGTGGTCTATATGTGAGCCAGGTGTGTACCTCAACAGAGCATGAATCTCCTCTGATTGGTTACTCCATGTTGTTTAAAGAGTGAAGCAGGGTTGGGGCTGGGGATTTAGCTCAGTGGCATAAGCGCCTGCCTTGCAAGCAGGGAGTCATGAGTTTGATCCCCGGTACCAATAAAAAAGAAAAAGACAAAAAAAAAAAAAAAAAAAAAGAGTGAAGCAGGGTTAAATCCTGCAGTTTCAAAATTAGGAGATAGCTCTAATATCCAAGAGCATTCATTTATTGCTGTTATTGCTATTACTCTTAAGATATATTGAGCAGTTATGAGTGCTCTGTGAAAAGCACTCTACCAATGTTATTTCATTTAATCTTCACAACCATCTTCTGAGGTGGATATTATCCCATTCTATAGAAAAGAATATTGATACTGCAGCTTGGAGAAGCCAAATTGGTCACAATCAGGGACAAAATCTATTCTAAACCTAGGTCTACTGACTCCAAAAACACATTTAAATGCAATCCTATACTCCTAAACAGACCTCCTGATTCCATTTCTTGCTTTGTTTTTCCCTTGTTATCATGAAAATACTTACATATTTTATCGTCTCCCTGAGCAGAAGTTAAGGAATCTTACTAGTTTTGTACACATTTGTATCCCTACTATCTAGTATACTTTCTGGTAGTTCTAAGCTCAGAATAAGTGCTCCATAAACATCTGCTGAGAGAATAAGTGAATGAATGATGTTTGAAGAAAATTATAAGAGTATTTTGGAAAGTCATTACAAAAAATACTATGAATGAGCTACTTGCAAGACTTCCTTCATTTCTTTGGTTTACTCTGTGGACTCTTCAGATCCTGAAAACTTCTATTTTAATAAAATAGGATTACTTTTATATGTAGTAAAACTGGTGAAATGTAGATGTAGAAAGGCATATCTACATGACTGCTTACAATCTTCTGAAAACAGTAGCAGCATAGCCCAACTCCTTTTGTGCACAACGCAGAGTCAGGGCTAATCTGAGATTTAGTAGCTACTTAGATAACCAAACAGCTAGAAATAACAAAAACTATTACGGTACCAGTATAACACTTAGAAGTAGTGACATCCTAATAGGCTTCCTAGAATTAAAATATAGACATCACTTACAACACTCCATTTTAGGTATTAGTTCTTTCGTGCATCATTTAATATACAGCACTAATTTACAAAACACAAACATACTAATTTGATTACACTTTGAATGGTTATGCCATTCGTGATAAAAATCCAAATACTTCAACTATACGTGGAATTCATGAACCAAATTTAATCAAGTTTACATTACAGAATGCTCTTATGCCAAGATAATACAGTCAAACTACTTTTTTATTAATGCAGGCATGTGCTGGAATAGTAAATACTAGAAGGGTGTTAAGTGTCTTATTACTAATGTGATTTTCTTAGCAACTGCCCAATTTACCTTGTCATCAGGAAGCACATGCCAAATAGAGATTGTCTTTTCCTCGACTTCATTGTTGATAGACAAGTAAGAAGGCTGATATATTTTGGTTGGTTCCAGGATTAACACCTTGAAAAGACAGGAATAGAAATTCTTGTTAAATTTATGATTTAAACCATTGAGAGCAGTTATAATACCTCAGTACCAATGTGGGAGGTTACCAGATGAGACTCTACATCCCTTTTTGGAATAACCCATTTAACTTCTGATGAGTCCTCTGAGCATTTTATGGTATTATACAATCATAATTATACAGTTAGTATAATATAATTATATTATTGTATATAATTATAATTATAATTGTATATTGTATAATTATTATTCAATTTTAATAAGGCTCTGAAATATATCACTTTCTATTGCTAACAAACTTGGAAGTACATATTTGAAGTCCGTCTATTAGTTCAGCTATCACAAGGGAATAATACGTCTTATCATGTAATACAGAAGCTATTTTTTTTGTTGTTGTTTTTTTTTTTTTCATTTTTATCGGTACCGGGGATCGAACTCACGACTGCCTGCTTGCAAGGCAGGTGCTTATGCCGCTGAGCTAAATCCTCAGCCCCTACAGAAGCTATTTTTATAAATACAAGTGTGTCAAAGAAAGGCAGAACATTTTTAAATAATTATGCACACAGAAAAGGAAATACTCAATATACAGAATGTCATCTGCTTATTTTAGGTTTTCTGCTGTCATACTTTATCATAAACAGGCAGTAGTATGGCTTTCATGCTCACATAAATCGATTTAGATATGACTTGGGTTATTATTTAAAGAGTTTTATATATAAACCCAAGAAACAGACATAACTGTATGACATAATAATGTTTTTGCACTGACTTCAAGATAAAATTGGCATCTTCAATATGATATATTTAGCCTTGTTATAGAAAAGTAAAATCTGTTCCTCTTTGGAGATATATAAAGAATACACACATGATAAGTAAGTTAAAAATTCGAGTTACAAATAAATACACTATTACTAATAGATAACATCAAAGTAAGTAACTTTAAAACACCAAACATGCCCTGATTTTAAAGTTGCTATAATTATTACCTATCTGTACAGATATTGAAAGACCTCAAATTTTTATGGAGACCTTGGTAAGAATGTTAAGAAGAAAAGAAAAAAGAAGTCAGCACTTTGTTATAGAGATACCAGAATAGTTCTTTGCACTCTACTGATTAAAGCTAAAATGAAACTACTTTTAAAACTAATCTTGAATCAAGGAAGCTTATCAAATAAATTGGAGGGAAAATCCTTCCCAAGGCTCTGTCCACAAGAAATTAGAGACCAACAATACATTAAAACACAGAATCTGGCACAGAATCTAGGTCAGAAAACTGGTTTCTGGCCATATACCGCAAACCCAATGTATTCATTGTACTCTAAATTTATCGTAACAATACATTTTTGTAAGTCAATGTACATATAAGTAGAAAAAGAGCACTAAGAAATGAAATCTTTAGTCATTGAGTGCAAAAAACATACAAAACTCCAAGAATTCCTGGTTTAGCTCTTGCTGTGGAAAGACAGGACATACCACAAATGAAACCCAGATAGAGTCCACAGGGCATATATGCTAACTCAGGTATATACTCATTTCTCAAGTAAGTCAAGGCCCAAATTCCAGTCAATAGAGTTAAGTGATATTGATTAATACTGGAAAAATCAATGTTCAATCTAAACATCCAAGACATGGGATCTCATGTTAGGATATCATTGTTCATGAAATGAAAACAAATAATAAAGGGTTTCCCAAAACGTCATTCAAGTGTCTTCATTGTGCATATACCTTCTCCCCTAATTCTGTGGGCACACTATTTAACTGTAGGAAAGCATAGCACCATATTTCTTAAGTTATGTGTGCATTATCTATCTGAAATGTTTCTAATTGATAAACTCTGAAATATGCGCTCCTCCCTTGGCACAGAGAATAAAAACAAGGGTGCAATGATCATGTCTAATCTTCATTGACACTTTTCTTTCTCTATGCCTCTGAAATACCAAAATGTAAGGAGTTTGAAGCCTTTATTACAGAGACCACAAAAAGGCTGAGAAAAGAACAGCAAAGCGGCAGGGGGTGGGGGGCAATCTGATAAAGTCATAAAGCAGAGCACTAAAGGCATACATACTCTTGCTTTCAGTGTCTTACATTTCACACTGGTCAGCATCACAACTAACTTCTGAATTCACCTATCTGAAGGAGGAAAGAAGAGGACCATGTCTATAAACTATAGAGCAGATATGAACTAGATTGACATGTCTCACGGTCCTACAGCATCTTCCCAAATATCACATTCTCCTTATTCCATCTGATCCTTATGCTCTGCCTTGATGTTGGGTTAAGGGTCTCCAAATAACTCACCATGAGAAGGAGGAATACATGCCAAGAAGAGAGGTTAAAAAAAATAATTCAAATTGAACTGTAGTGGTAAGAAAAGATGGGGCCATTGAAATCATTTCTTAAATAAATTTTAATTTTATTTTGTCCAGGGTCTTGGTTACCTTCCTACAAGAAGGAGAATGGTTATTGTAAAGAGAGAAATAAAGATAATCATAGTAAATATTTTCTCACATGGCTATCTTGGCTTCCTTCAGATCTACTTCAAAAGGAGGATAATCTTATCCTCTTAATGAAGACCTAGAAAAGCCTTCCTAAGTATGAACCAAATCTAAGGGCATGAAGTATGCAGTGACTGATACAACACCACAGATCTACAAAGATCCTTTCTCTCTGCCATGGAGGAACATGTCAAGTTCTAGAAGTGGTCATGACTGATTACCTAAATATTGGTTTTATTTTTTCTGCATTATCATCTATATTGAGGTTTTTTAAATCCTTAATGTTTTCATTATTTTTAAACTATGTCTGCAGTTTCTGCAGTACTTGATCATACATGCAAATACCAAAAAAAAAAAAAAATTTTTTTTTTCAACTAGTTAACCCTAAAGCAATTTCTATTGGCTCTGGAACTGGTTGACTTAATTTTCTGGAATTCACACAAGATGACATAAATCTAAGAAAGTTCAACTTCAAAAGAGCTAGAGAGCTGTATAATTTTGCACTCTGGACAATGACAAAACCATAGGAAAGCAATTTTGAGCACCAAAGTTATGAGTTATGATGCTGGAGCCAGAGAAAAGTAGAAAACAGATTTTTTTCACACACACAAAAAAAGCCCAAAGTAAACCACCGAATTCCAAGAAAGAAATGGATTGGTAAAGACAATCAAACTATGGTATAAACATATCTGCAAGATTATCCAACAAATAACCTTTGGCCTTCCACCCATAGATTAAAAAAATATTATTGTGCTACCATACTTGTTTCAAAGCTCTTTTCTTAAAAAAGAACTGAGAAACTGAAATAAAAACCTGAAATTCCCACTGTCCTCATACAGCTACCACTCCCCTTCCTATGTGGTTGCTCAGAATATGTAGCAGTTCCTAAACTCACCAGCAATCTGGATGAATGCTCACGTCTTTGTACCTCTGTCAATTATTGTAAACTTTTAAACTGAGGCCAAAATTTTGTCTCATTTTAATTTTCTTGACTACCTAGTAAGCTCAATTATCTGTTTATATGATTTGTACATTTTTCTTACCAATTTGTAGAAGTCTTTAATGCACATTAAGCATATTAACCATTTTGTACCGTTTATATTAAATGTTTTTTCCCTAACAATTTTCAATTTGACATGTTTATAATCGTTTTAATGATTCCATTTTCTATTTATTTATTTATTTTTGCCCTTCAGTGTTAAGAGACTGAAGGCAGGGACTTTGCACATGCTAGGCAAATGATCTACCACTGGGTCACTTTCCCCTTCATTTTTAAATGAAATTGAATTGATAAATATTTTCTTTTAGGGTTTATGGGTCTCTTCTTGTCTAAGGAAACCTTTTAATCTGGAGTATGTACTTATAATCTCATAACTTCTCAATCTATGTCTCTAGGTTTTATTTTCTTTATATTCACTTATTTATACTATGATAGACTAATTCATATTTTACTAATTTAAATTAGCCAGAAATGACTCTTACGAATGATTTCCTTTCATAGCCTCTTTTTTAGTGGATCAAGTTAGCAGTCAATTAAATGCTTGAGCTATGTGCTCTCTTCTTTCACCACCACATTTATTGCTACTCAGAGCGCCAGTGAGGGGCAAGCTGCCAGCAAGATAAGTACTTTACTTGGCTACACATTATCTAGGCTAGAAAATAAAGTGAAGTGATTTAGTTTGAAAGGCTTTTCAATTAAGGATTCTGCTGAGCTCAAGGCTTCATCTGGAAGCCACAGGAAAGCATGTTAATGCCAGCAGTGGATTTACCTAATCAGGCAAACGATCCTATCAACAAAAGCTGGAAACCAAACTTCTACAAAAAGGAGAAGTGTCATCATCTTTGAGTATGGAAGATTGAAATTAGACAGTTCAAACCAAGAGATTTATGGTATCATTTTGATATGGGAAGAAATCTGTACACACTGTGAGCTGCCAATAATTCTTGAAGTAGATGCCAAAGCCAAATTACTTTTGAATGGTATTATGACAGCAGCCAGGGTGGGGATATATATACACATACACATACACATATAAACAAATCTGTTAGAGATTAGCAGATCCAGAAGTACAATTCTTTCCTATGGTCAAAGCACTGTAAACAGGTTATTTCTGACCCACATAAGTAACTCTTGGCCTACTACATAATAGATCATAGGAAAGGAGTAAGTACAAGTAAGCCAAACAATTTTTATTACAATAATGGTGATAAGACTGAAGACAATGTCAACAAAGCAGCAGTATTTAATAGAATCTAACCTGTCTCAGCTTAAGAGATGCCTTGACCTACTGAACTAACCAAGAGGAAATCCTTTTACTGCTTTTGAAACATATTTCACTGTTTATCAAAAATAACCACCCAAATTCCATGGTAAAACATTAAAACTAATCTCATTTCTCTGATTTGGGGAAGTTATTTTAAAAAGTAAACCCAAAGCAAACCATTTAGTAGAAAATAAAGCTACGAACCAGTTAACTGCAGCCTCAGGGGAGAGGATCAATACACCAGTACTGTCACAATAAAAACACAAGATAGTCTTTAAAGACGAGAAACAAGGTTACTCACTGGAAATCTAACTACAGTAACATCTGTTTTTGTGGCTTCAACAAGGAAATCCATCCAAAAGTCCACAAGTTCTTGCTTGGCCACAGGCTGCTCTGCAGTCAGCTTCACAAAATGCTTGTATATCAAAATTGTCTCTACAATTGACTTGAGGTACCTCATAATTAAAAGACATAAAACACAGAACAAACAAATTTAGAACTATTTATAACAGTTTTATGCTGTAAATCTAATTTATACGTGGCATTAAACATTATTATTTGTTACATAGCATATTCTGTCACATGTTGTTTCATTTAAGTGTCTCCAAAAAAATTCAGCAAACTAGGCTTTTAACTCCATTTCAAAGATCAGGAAAGTGAGGCTTAGAGGACTTCAATTGCATTGAGGCCATACATCCTCTTAAAAATATTAGTTTCTAACTGCCTCTGTTCTATTCAAGCATGAAGTGAATTTATTATTAAATATTTTTTTGAAAACTTCCAAAATAGATCTTTTGTAAGAGTTTATTTTTCCCTGAAACAACTCAGTTTACATATTATATAACTATTTTCCAATCTAGTAAGACAGATGGTGCCTGACAGGGGAAAAGAGAAGATAATTATACAAGATAATGGCTAAGTAGGTGCTTTGTCGACTATAAACATGGGAGTTAACATTCAATAAAAACTAAGCTAAGAGACATTTAAGGCACTGTTTTGTGGCTGTATTACTACTGCATAAAATGATGTCTATTTTCTTATTAACGGAACCAGGATACCTAAAATGAAACTTTGTATATCTAGACTTCAGTCTTCTCTGCCAATCGTCCCTCATCCCCAAAAAAGCAAACCTGGCTGAGTTTAATGCATGCATTTATTGGATCCTTTATTTCATATTTGCTAAGTGATTACTGTGGACATCATACTGTCAGTATGGCCCCACTCTCAAGGTTCACATAAGGTCATAAAGATACATGTAAAAAGGTATTATAACACCGCAAATAAATATCAATGGAGACATAATTAAATAGAGACACGAATAAGGGAAGTCATACAATCAATGTCAACAGAGTCATTACTAAAAAACAACAGAAGAAAGAAGGAAGGGACTTGGATTTCTGATCAGGGGCTGCTTTTATGAGCAGATGTGGTTTCTGAGTGTTCACAGGAGACCAGAGAGCTAGATGAGGCATTCTCGGGCAAACGCTGAGCCACACACATGTAAAACTGCAGTTTGACAAGTGTACAATAAAGAGAGGCCAGCGCAAATCTTAGGGTGTGACAATAGCTGAGATTGGGTGGACTCAGAGAACACTGCCAAGCCAAGGGGATGGACTTTATCCTTCAGGTTGTATAGAATTAATAAAACTACATTGAAGGATTTCAGAGGAAGGGAGGGAAGGATCAGCCTTGCACTATAGAAAGATCAGATGACAAGTGATATTGGGGAAGCCTGGCTATCAGGAGACCGTGCAGGGTCTCCTGACCGTGAGGGTTTTATTACGGTGGTCATCTCCTCAAACAGCTCCTGTGAAGTGCCCAGTCATACCTGGGTTCTGACTGTCTCAAGAAAGAGCCTTTCTCTCTGACATTGCTAATCTCCTTATGTCTTCACAATTACAGGCCAATTATAACATGGGACACATAATCAAGTATTGTTTTTCAAAGTGGTTCTAAATGCAGCTGGAATTTTATTTTCTACAATACCATATAGGTAGTTTTGGATCACAGGTTCATTCCAAGAATAATGTGAATTTAGAATAACATACATATAGAGGAAACATACAAATGTGTCTGTCAAATTTTAAGTAAAAAGAAATCAAAACCAAGAATGAGGATTCCAAAACTTGAGATTAAGTAGTAAAACAAAGAACACATACTGGGAGCAAAGGCCAGTGGGGCTCAGTCTGCACACAGTCCCCCTGAGGGCATGGCCTGGCAGGTATACCACGGGTAGTCTCTGTAAGAGCTCACGTGGGTAACACTGGCCAATCTGAGTTAGTCTGTGTAGGAAGAGCTACAAAAGTGACTAGTTGACATCACCTGTCCAAAGTCAACAGATTCTCTCTGGGAACATCATAATTTCCTACAGAGTTCTATATTTTATTCTAAAAATAAAATAATCGAATAATCAATTTTTAAATAAATAAAACACGAGAGCAATATAAGACAATTTATTAAAATGAACTGTATAAACACTTAAGAATTCATTATTACCATGCTGGTGTCTTTAGTTTGAAAAGCTTTTCAGATGCTTGAATGACTCTCAGATGGTCATTGGCCAGCACACTGGCCCCAAGAAAAAATCCAACTTCCCAGTAGCTCTGGAGTTTTTCCAAGTTTCCCTTTTTACCAAGAAGGCTACTTAGCTTCACCCCTAGATGATGAAGAGGAAGTAGAATGTTACACCATAGTCAGGCACAGGTAACTTCATTAAAAAACTAAATTAAGCTTTCATTCTATTTTCAGATTAAAATGGCTTTAAGTTTCTGATTATTAACCTGGCTTAAATTGGGGATGGTGGCCCATGCCTGTAATCCCAGCTACTCAGGAAGCTAGGCAGAAAGATCTGAAGTTCAAAGCTAGCTGCAGCAAGTTAGCAAGATTTTGTTGCTAAATAAATAAATCAAGCAAGCAAGCAAACTAGGAATGTAGGTCCTGGGTTCATTTCCCAGTAGTGTAAAAAAAAAAAAAAATATATATATATATATATATATATACAGTAGCTTAAGCTTATTGCAAAAACAAAAAAAAAAGTCTAATCACAAAGGTATACAAAAGGTAAAAATTATCCTTTAATTTGAAAACCCAGACATAACTGTCATGGTTACTTTACGTACCTCAGTCTAGAATTTTATGTGTGTCTGTACCTGTGTAAATTAAAATGTGATCATACTAAACACACTGTTGCATAACCTCCTTTCTTTTCTTATTATACCATGGATTCTGAAGTAATCTGACCAGCAAATCTTTTGTAAACTGAAATTCTCAGTCAGTTGAAAAATAAATATATACAGTATATATGTGTATATATATATATATGTATATATTGTAACTAAAATGCTACAATAAGTAATGATGATTTTATATACAAAAGTTATTACATGTTTATAAAGATCAATAGATAATAACACTGTCTCATTCCTGCCACTGTCTAACAAGGCTTGAAATCACATAATGTGAGTCCTCTAACTATTCTTTTCTAACTTTGTTTTAGCTCTCCTAGGTTCTTTACAATTGATCATAAACTTTCATTGTACTCTGTCTTGAATTATTTTTGCATTTTATGAGTATTTCTTTGCTTAAAAGGAAGACATCTTCATAGAACCATTTAACACCACTAACGCTCATTACATTGAACTATAAAAAAATTACCAGAGATTTGGGAAAAGCATGAGGAGTAGTACAAGTCATTTCAATAGCATATGACACATAACACCACTCAAGGATCATCTTTGGCAAGATTGTTGGTATATCTCACTTTTTATTGTTTATTAAAAATAACTTACTTGTTAACTTGTAGATTTGTGTCCAGTAGAGATAAAACTAATTTGTCTAATGGACTAGATAATCCTTAAGACTTATATGGACTATTAGATATAAGCCACTAGCTTTAAGGAAATCAAATTCATAAAATGTTTTTTTTTTTTATCTTTTTGAGACAATGTCTCACTATGTGGCCTAACACTCACTTTGTAACCCAGGCTAGCTTCAAACGTGCAGCAATTCTCCTGCCTCAGCTCCCAAGTGCTAGGATTACCGATGTGTGCCACTACACCTGACTTAATTCCAAAATCTTAACATTTCTTTGTTAAATTGTTTATGGGTATGTGAACTTCTCAAAGGCCCCTGGAATTGGCCATACATACTTACTGGCTTTCATATTAACTGGGCTAAATAAAACTCTTTACATGTCTATTTTATGTTTCCTCAGAGTCACAATTTTACCTTTTTGAAAATTATACTTGTAACAAAACATAATAACTTTTAAATTTTTTTCAAGTTACGTTTTACTACATAATCCTACTTAAGCCATCTCAGAGAAAAAGTCCATTTGGGAATTCTTCAGAGAATTGATGAAAGAGAACTGCTTTGCCACCTGAAGACTTTGTGAGATGAAAAAGATTATAAATAACCACACAACAACATTCATGATCTTCTACCTGGGCATATTTTTAAATTTAAAGAAATACGAAAAATAACAAAATGGATGGAGAAAATGACACAGTAAAAACACATGACTCTACTGGCAACTTCAGTTGAAAATGAGCACCTTTATTTATGGCATACTTGCAGAATAATAAGCTCAGCACTGATCTAGCAGAGAACTATGTCAAACTTTCAAACAGCAAGTATGAAAAAACATTTAATAGTTAAAAAATATAATAGTTTTAAAATACAACTTCACATTTTGAAATTGCTGCATTACTATTTGTTTTATTTCGTGGCCTTGGCATAATTTTGTCACATGATCATGACAACCAGCCATTCAGCATTTGGACAAAATGCATTCACGGCAAATAGAATTTTAGCATATAGATGTGTCACAATTTATTTATCCAAATGTAAATGGATACCCATTTATTACCATAAACATTCTTGTACACATAGGTTTGTGCATTTGTGCAGTTTTTTCCTTATAAAATTTTAAGCATATATTTGTTAGGATGAAGGATTGCCCTGTGTGTTGTTATATTCTGTCAAAGTGCTCTTAGGGAAATGCTACAACAAGGTACACTATTGCTAGAAGCATCTGACCATGCTCTTTTACCCACACCCTATTTATCTTTATCAATCTGATGGGGGAACAAAAGAAACATTACTTTTTTAATCTGAGACTGACTCTCGTTTTATGTGGTTGTATTCCTTGTGCGTGAGGTTTTATGCTCTTTGCTTTTGACATATGAAACCTGTTTCTGATGAAGATCTAATCCTGTAGGAACAGAGTTATGAATATGACTGATTTTTGATATTTAGTCTTCATACTTCAACAGGTGTAACGGCTGATACCCTGGGTCAATTTGAGAAGTTAAAAATTTTAACTAAGAGACTCAGCAGGGGCAGGGCTTCACTTTGTAAATATCCTTGTCCTGTGCAAGAGCCGGGCAGAGAGATGGTGTGACCCAGCCTGGGGGATGGGTTGCCTGCGTACAATATAAGGGAATAAAAGAGTTGTGTTCTTGCCCTTGTTCTTGTTGCTTTTGCTGTCTTCTGTCACCCTGTACTATTACCCCTCTGCCATGTGCCACTCTGACTTGGAGCCAGCTAATTATGGACTGAAACCTCCACAAAATGTGCACTAAATATGCCTTTCCTCTTTAACTTTGTGTGTCAGATATCTTGTGTCAGCAATGAGAGAAAAGTAACTAAGACAATAGATAACAAAGAAGTTTTTTTCTGGTTAGTGATGGATTTTGTTTCAGTTTTGATTATTTTTTTCTTGACTGCCTTTATAGACTTAATGGACTTTTACATTTAGAAATATAATTTTTATATTCCATAATTTTTAGTACTTACTGAAAATGAGATTCAAATACTGGTTTTTTTTTTTAATTCCAAACACAGTGTTCTCTCATTATAGCAACATTACTGTGGGAGACTCAAACCCATAATTCTGATTCTCTCTCATAAAATGTCTCATAGTTGAAAAATTCCACAGAAAATGAGAGAATCAGCTTTTATTTAGCAAAAGTTTGAATATTAATTTTAAGGCCTGTGAAAATGTAAAATGTGGTTTTGTGTTTTTAAGTCCTAAACAATCTAAACAGCAATGATTCTTCAAAAACAGGGAGTAAACACAGATCCACAAAAGAATTAGTCATAACCTTGAACAAACACACAGGTAGAATTAAGAGTCTACTGTGGTTTGGATGTGGTCTGAGCGTATCTCCCAAAGTTCATCTGCTGGAAGCTTGGACCCCAATTATAAGGGTTCTAGAGGGTGTAGGAATCTTTAAGAGGTGACGCCTAGGGGAAGGAGTAAGTCCCTTGGAGATGCTGACCTTGGAAAGGATCAAGGTAGTCTCATGGGACTTGTTTAGGTCCCATGAGAGTGATTCTGATTCCTGAATCACTCTCTGGCTTCCAGTCTCCCCATGGGATGGCTCCATCTCCCAGCTGCTCCCACCATGATGATACCTGCCACAATATGATGCAGCTAAATCAATGGGGTCACCCAGTCTCGAACTTTCAGACTTCAAAATTAAAGAAATAAAGATCTTTTCTTTATAGTTTCTAGCCTCAGGGATTTTATTATCGCTACCAAAAATAAATTAGTATAGTCTTTGGGCAACAGATATGACAGGTAAGGACAATTTCTAACAGAGATTTTAAATGTAGTATGTTTAGAAAGCTTCAAATTTAGGGTTCACCTTATTTTAACTTTTAATCCTTTCCCTTCAAAAATAAAGCAAAATTTGAAAAAACAGGTAAAGGAATTTCATAAACTAATGCCTGATTTTATTATAATTACTCAATAACTCAGACTATTTTGCATGTTCAAGGTGCCAACAGGAAGAATGGGAAAAGGTATAAATTATTGGGAAATGTGATTAGAGTTCTTAAAGAATGCAACTGCATATCTTTAAAGTACCCCAAATATGTAATTAGTTTTGTTTTTATTATACACTATAAATATAACTATTGTATTAGTTTATTAATTTATTTAGCCAACATGTCTTTCCTTGAAAACCCACTCAATCCCATCTTACCATATAAAAATTAACTTTATACTGATCTACTGATCTACTTTGAGTAGCATAATTTATGATTGAATATTTAAAGGGCATATATTTTACGATGTATATCACAATATTCTAGAAAACTAAAACTTAGCTCTTACAGTAGCTATAAATTCACTGTCAAGTCGTATTTTAAACCTGTGTATATTAAATAATTTTCAAAATTTTAAATTTAACATCATATGCTTTCAAATGCTTATAAGCATAAGTTTTCAAATGCATATGTATTCAACGCATATTATAGTTCTCAGAAAAATTAAAATGTTTATTTTGCATATTGTATTATAGTTTATCAAATCTCAGATTGCTGTCTTAATTATATTGAACCTAAAATAAGATTTAAAGTATATTTTTAAATCATTGCTATTGGTTTATCTATTTATTCAAAAGTTTCAAAAAACCTTCACTTTTGAGCTCAAGAATAGAATAATAAAAATTATGCTTAGAACACTGATACAGAAGTACAGCAGAATTGTGCTATAATTTCTAAAATATGCAGGTTGCAAAATATTTTGTTTGATTTCATTTAGCAGTCAAAAAAACTATTGCAGTAGTCTGAACAACTAAATTACTGAGACCTTGTCTCAGTGTAAAAAATAAAAAGGGTTGGGGATGTATCTTAGTGGTATAATGCCCCTGGAGTCAATCTTCAGTACTTCAAAAATATATATTTTTCTCAAATAGAATTTTATGCTTTAATGCCATTATAATCCCCAGTAATATGCATCTTACTATTTTTTTAGACTAGGACTTTTAGAAAGTTCTAATACTACACTGAGACTTGATATGCCTTTAAAAATTTCCCTATAATGCATGAATAATTTTTTCTTACTTTTTTGTTTCACAGTAATGTCTATTACTACATGTGTGCAACATAAAATGATTAAATTCATCTTGGCGAATTTGTGCATGTACATACTACAGCTTTAGATTATTTACATCCCAAGCTTTCCCAAATAAATGTTAAAAGGCCCAGGAATCATTTTTCAGAAAGAAAAATTAAACAAAATATTTTCCAGTTAAAATACTAAAGGGAAAATTTCTTCTATAATGCATGCTTCATTAAGATCAATGTTTTTTCCTTTCTGAAAACTAAGGCAAAAGACTTGTATGTCTGCAGTAATAACTCTTCAGGCATCGGAAAAATTCTGTGAAAGAGATGGTTAGACATTCAAGCGAACAAAATGTGATTACCACAGATGGTATTCTAGGACCTAAAAGTTTTTTTTAAAAGTGTTATCCAAGCCAAAACCAAGATAAACACTTAAAAATATTTCCATAAAGATGCCCTAATTTCTTTAAGCTCTAAGAAAGGGTCACAGGGATGACAGTCTATGGAGAAAAGACAAAAGCAGATCTGTCAATGGTTACAATTCAGAGATGCTCTTGGAGGTGACTAGTGGCTCTCTGACCTGTATTTGACCTGTTACTCTGGACGCTTCGGAGGCTCCACTTCTAACACCACAGGGGTAGGTGTGTTTGAGAAGCAGGAAAAGAAAGTATAGGATTTAAGAAAAAAGTTCCAAGAAATCATAATCTTAAATTGGAAACATCTCTGATAGTCCACAAACACTGACCTTATTCAGAACTGAGGGCTGAAGACAGAGTCTGTATCATCAGTACTAGTCTGAGATGGAATGATAACTATTAACCTGTGGACTTTTAGAAACAGGTAAAATAAACTAAAAGCTGAATTAATCGTAATATCAGAATTTGGCACAATAGTATGAAATAACGAAGCAAAGAGATACAATCAACTTTTCCAGAAAGATCAGGTAGAAAGCAAGAGGATGTTTATTACTGTTTTTTTTTCCTTTGTACCAAGTTTAGGACTAGCTTCTTGATTTCCATGTAAAATATCAAGCTGTAATTACCAACTTTCCGAAGCTCAAAGGAAGATTCAAACTGGTGTCCAGCTGCCAGGAGAAGGACTGCATAATTAATTCCTGACTGTAGTGTTGGTTCAGATTCAAATGCCTTTTTGTACCTATAAAAAAAAAATAAAATGTACAAGTTTACTTTCTCAGTCATGAAGCCCTGGGTGTGTAACACCTTCTGTTTGCATAACTCCAGTGCCTCAACCAAAAACATTCCATTGGCCTTCACCCCAGAATCTAGTGTGCTATTAGGATTTAATGCTTAGGTAACTGCACATTCACCTTGCCTGCTCTTTGCATTCCCCTACTTAACTCACCCTCCACCTAATGAGCCCAGCCTTTAAAAAAAAATCCTCTCAACTGACTACCAGAAATGTGTGAATACATGTGTCTATGCAGTAACAATTTTAAAATAAAAACGGTACACATATTTTTAAAGTGGTTTTTAGAAAGCCTTAAACATACACAAAGCTTTGAGGAGGATCATGTGGTAACATATTGAAAGCATCCTTTCCACAAGAGTGACGTATAAAAACAAGAAAAAGTCAGTTACCGGAAGAAACTGAGAAGTCAGAAGTTGTGCCTCTCCATACTAATTTTGTCTCAAACAGTACAAGAACTGTTTTCTGAATATGCATGAAACTGCATATCAACCTTTGAAAACATTTCCACATCTGAGGATTTCAGTATTTGAATAGTCACTGTATTTTTGAGGTAACACTTCCCATGATCTACATATTTCCCATATGTATCATTAAACACACGATGATATTCAATATTATTTCATTTAAACTAATGAAAACAAATCTTTATTTAAAAAGTCAGAATGAAGAAACCATCAAGATTAAATATCAAATAAACAATCATTTGATGATGCCAAGAGAAAGATTATGTAGTTTAGAAAGGTTATGTAGGAAAAAAATACAGTACAATTCTCTATTTAAATCATAACCGTGTGAGTGAAATACAGGAAAAATAATAACGTTGATGGACACAATAGTATCTATTATATTTTTGGCTTTCATAAGTATTTGAAATTTTCAATAGTTTTAAATAAGTTGAGGGCCAGGGATTTAGCTCAGCGGTTAAAGGACTTGCCTGGCAAGTGCAAGGTCGTGAGTTCAATCCCCAGTACCAAAAAAAAAAAAAAAAAAAAAAAAACTAGTAATAAGTTGAACATCAAACAAAATGCATTTTTTTCTGAATATTGAAGATCCCTGTGACTTATTTAGGACTTTTAAGTAGAGCAAATGTCTCTGAATGGAAACATAAATCAAATTAGTATTAATCTTAACTAGTTGGCCCTGATATAGTTATGTACACATGGAATAATTTTTTAAAACTTTCCAACTGCCTCACTGTAGTAGATTAAAAGTATTTTTATCTCCTTAGAAGTTTAGATAGTTCCTTTTTAAAATGGAAAATGTACCTGGATTGCAAACATATAAAGTCATGGAAAAGAAAGACATGATTTACAAGTCTTAGACTCATTAAATCTCAATGTCTTTGCCTCTCTTCAGAGACAAAGCATGCCATTAAAAATGGGTATAGGACTGGCAAGCACAAGGCTGTGGGTTCGATTCCTGGTACCCTCCCCCAAAATGGGAACAGAAGAAAAAAGCGAAACACTTTTCTAATTTATATTAAGATATTAAATATTTTCAACAAATTTTCATTTCTCTTATATCAAAGAACAGACTATCTCTCTTAAAGATATAAAAATCAAACTTGGCTGATGTCTGTTTTCCTGTTTCATAAACTACATATACAAAGTGTGATGAAAAATACCATGTATATTTAAACTGATTCTATGCCTGCTAAGGGTGAAGATCCTAAAGCACATCTCAGGCCAGTTTGGTAAAGCATCCTAGACTCCCCATCCTCTAAGCGCAGCCGTAAGGTCTGTCACGTTGATCACCAATTGCCATACTGCCTGAGTGCTAAGCTGACTTTCAACTGCACATCAAAAAGATACTGGAGATCATCTTTCTTCCTTTTCTAAATTAAAATTTTCTATCAAGCTTACCATAAAGAAACTTCAAAGTGGTCCAGAAGAGACTTCATATGATTCTGACTTTCAAAAATATACAATTATTTAGAGAGCATCAAATATTATTAAAGTCCATAGTACTTTAGCAAAAGCAGCAACATTTATCAATTTAGGAATCAGTAAATATAATCCTGTTTGAACTGGAGATTACTGTTATGTAGTACAAACTTGCCTAAATATCACAGATCTTGTATTAATCATAAAAAAAAAAACAGACCAAACAGAATAAAAGATAGTTTGGGTGAACTAAAACATGTCAAGTAAGAAACATTTAAACTGAAGCAGACAAAAAATAAAGAGTAAAAAAGCCTACCAAATAGCATAAGAGATATAAGACATAGTGGAATGGCCCAAAATATGTTTTCTTGAATCCTCAGAAGAGAATCATTAGAAGTATTTGAAGACCCAGATAAAAATAATCAAAAAATATAGAAGCCCATCTGATACATAAAAAATAAAAATAAATAAAAAATAAAAATAAAAAAATTCAAAAAATGTCAACCCACAGATTTAAGAAGTTCAGTAAAACTCAAGCAAGATAAAAGAATCACACTTTAAATGCTAAAGCAGAGAAAACATTTAAAACTGAAAAATATTTTGACATATGGTCTCACTATGTTGCCTGGGCTGGTCTCAAATTTATGGCTTCCAGTGATTCTTTTGCTTTAGCTTCTTGAGTAGCTGGGACTATAAGTTTGTACCACCACCCCTAACTTACAAGCAAATTCTTACAATTTGCCAGAGGAAAAAGGTATGTTACCTTCAAAGATGCAATAAAACTGACAGCTGACTTTACAGTACAGAATATGGAAGCTAGAAGACAATACATGGACACATTTAGACTAAAAGAAAAAAAAGATACAAAAATAGGTGTTTTCAGACAAGCAAAAAATGATAGAATCAGTTGCCAGCAGATCAATGTTACAAGAAAAGTACTAAAAGCATTTTAAACTAAGGGAAAATGGTTCTATTTGGAAGCTCTGAATTATAGAAAGAATATCAAAATGGGTAAACATGTAAAATATAGCACCCACAAAATTTGAAATCTATTTTTAATCATTTAAATGGTAAAGTACAAATTGAAAGCAGTCTATAAAATTAAAAGATGCAGATTGTAAATCTAGGAAGCTACTAAAAGAGTACTTTAATATAAAAAGTATTAATAATGAGTTAATAAAACAGAAAATATGTTAAATTAATTTAAAAAATAAGGTAGGAAAGAAAAAGAGAAAAAGAACCTATGAGACAAATAGCAAAATAAAACCAAAAGATGGCCGACATAATTCAATTATTACCACATTAAATATAAATGATTTAAACCTGCTAAGTAAACAAAATTTTCAAATAGATTTAACAAGAGCAAAACAAATAAATAATGCTAGGAATATAGCTCAGTGGATAGAGTGCCGGCTTGGCATGCACAAGTCCCTGAATAAATAAACAAGAGACACAACTGTATCTATTTTAAAAAGAGACACTTTATATGAATATAGGTAGTGCGGCTGGGTGTGGTGGTACATGCCTGCACTTGGGAGGGCTGAGGGAAGAGGATACTGTGAGTTCAAGGCCAGTTTGGCCAATCTGAACTAAAGGGAGACCCAGTCTCATAAAAAAAAAAGCCGGGCAGCCTCCCCATGTGTCGGCGAAGGCCTCATTGGCCAGCGAGAAGCAGGGAGGAGGCCATGCAGCCTCCCTGTGTGCGGGTGGAGGCCCTGCTGGCCTGGGAGAAACAGCAAGGAAGCTCCCTCTGCCTCCCGCGTCACCCACCCATGAGCAACCAGACGTGACACAGACTGAGAGGATAGCAAGTGAAGCCGGGAAGCAACCTGACATTTAGGCTATTTGATCAACTTTGCAGGCCTCAGGCCTCTGGGCAAGTATTTAGAGAAAAACAATATGTAACACAGCAACCATTGCGGATTTCCTGTTCCTCTATTACTGTTTTATTTCATTTTACTGTTGTTTTACTCCCTTTAAAATAAAAAAAAAGAACACAGGTAGTGAAATGATGCATAAAAATATAGAGATTACAGATTAATATCAGACAAAACCTGGTCTGAGAGACTAAAGGTGGGGAGGATGGGGAGTAAGAGGGGAGGTAACCAGAATAAAGATACAGCGTGTACAGGAATCCAGTAACCTCAATGAATGTAAACATTACGTGCCATAAACATGAGTTAGACGATTTGTAATATCAACAACAACAAAAATGGGGAAAGGAAAATTAGAAGAGGAAGGGAGGGAAGGGGGGAAAAGGGGGAAAGGGACTTAAAAAAAATACAAGTTGTATTATGTACATTTTTTCCCTCCCCAAGATGAAAGTAAACTGCATGCACTGCAAGCACATACTAATAAAAAATACTCTTGCCATGCTCAAATAAGCATACAAAAGACTCATAGAATGTACAGATCACCTGAGCAACACAATTAACCAAATTAATCTGACATATCTGGAATGCTACACCCAACAAATATAGACTCTCTTCTGTGCCATAAAGCACTTCTCAACAAGTTTCAGAGGAATGAAATTCATAACAAAATTAAACTAGGGAACAGCGAAGGAAGAAATGTAGTACTTAGAAATTGGGCAATCCATTTCTGGGGACAGGGGTGGAACACACACAGAAGATTAGAAGGTATTTGAACCGAATATTGAAAATTTAATACATCAAAATTTCTGAGATGCAGAACAACTTACATTTTTAAAGCGCCTATGTGGAAAAGGCAAGGCTGAAAAATCAATGTTATAAGCTTGATCTAGAAAAAGAATGCATTGCTCCTGAAGTACAAGGAAGAAAAAGAAATCAATAAAAGACAAGGTGAATATGCAGTAAAAAAGTGACAGTTTGTTTTCAAAATTTAATAAAACTGACAAGCTCCTAAGCAGACAGTTCATCAGAATGAGAGTAAAAGAGAGAAGGAAAGAATAAAAATTATTGCACCATCAGAATCAGAAAGGGGGGGAAATGAGTATAGAACCTAAACACATTAAAAAGAAAGGAACTTGGAACAACTTTATGCCACTAAATACAACCACCAATGTGAAATGAAAAACTTCCC